CGTCAAAAGAAGATCAAAAACGTTTGGGAGCAACCGTCACAAGATCGGGAGTAGCGTTGAAGGTGTTACTCGATCTGTTAGATCTGCACCCCGAGCTTGGGAGTCATGCGCCGTTGATGCAATCGTGGGCACAAGACAAGTGGAAGGTTATTTCGAGGGCAGAGGCATCGAGACACCTCAGGTTACTCGTGAGTGCGGCGGGTAGAGACCCACAGAAGTATGCGTTGCATTCAGGAAGGATCGGGGGGGCCACGCACCTAGCAAGTATGGGGGCGTCGGTAATTCAGATCCAGAGAGCCGGAAGGTGAAAATCATCGGCTTTCATGGTGTACGTTAGGGCGGGGGGTGAAGGAGCAAAAGTTTGTGTCTCAGGCCCTTACGGAATCCGAGGAGTGACCAGGGAGCGGTTCGGAGGAGTAGGTCATCGGACATGCCTAATGGAGTAAGATATGTTGAGGTCAGAGGCCGAAACAATAGTAATGATAGTAGGGCAATCTTGGGAAGTTTGCAACGGGTTAGTCCGATAAGTAAACGTTGTGAGCAAGACGGCATTTTACCTGCGCTCCCAATTTGTTTCATGTGTCTTGGTTTTTGTTTGGTTGCCTGCAGAAAAAATAATCCAGAATTCTTGAGCAAACATGAACGTGAAGATTCAGTACGTATTTGAATCTGTGGTTTGTGGAGGCGTGTTGGAATTCGGAAAAGCGGGGATCGAAGAAAAATAGAGACAGCCCTGGTGTCAGAAAGTTTTTGTCCTCTCGCTGGGCGAGAGACAAGCAAGTGCACTTGGGAGAAGGAGAGGAGTAGCAGAGATAGCAGCTTTGAGGAGCAGCAAACACGGAGTCCCGCCTAGGATTTGATCGATTTTCCCGCCCACCCACACCTATCGCTCAAGAGAGGGGGGAGCATGGGGGGGTCTAGTCGGTCGACGACTAGGAGGTACCGTGTAGGTAGTTTATTATGAGTAAGACATGTTGAGGCCCGAGGCCGAAACAATAGTAATGATAGTAGGGCAATCTTGGGAAGTTTGCAACGGGTTAGTCCGATAAGTAAACGTTGTGAGCAAGACGGCATTTTACCTGCGCTCCCAATTGTTTCATGTGTCTTGGTTTTTGTTTGGTTGCCTGCAGAAAAAATAATCCAGAATTCTTGAGCACATAAAATTAATGATGTGCCCTCCACAAACTCTTTTTGGCAGCTGGTTGAACGAGAGCGTCTTCTTCCTGTGAGCCTTTGGAAATGCAATTACTGCTGTAAACCATGTTCATGGTTCAAGCTAGCACGGAACAAGACACATCCAGCAAATACGAGAAGGATACTGGCTTGTGACGACCCTCTGTAAAACCGTAGCCGCTATTGCATCTCAATTGGACTGCTGTCTCGAGTCTCGAGTCACATCCTCTCTCGCAAATCTTCCCTGGAATTTTCTTCCTAAATTGCCCCTTGTAGCATGTTCAAATTGCAAAACGTGCGCTACATCTGCGCTGTATTTCATCTGTGCGCGTGGCTGCCTGCGGCGAGCCTATATGTCGAGGCACGCAGTATGCAGCAGGCTTCCCCTAGGCTGCCTAAGTTCTCACCCAGTGCCGCAGCCCTCGCTCGCACCCGGGTGCGCCGGCGGCCCAAAGCTGCGATCATCGCAATCGAGGCAAACGAGAGTGCTCCGCCGTGAGCCATATCATCTCGTGCCTGAGCTCCGCTTCTTGGGGGCTATGATTGCATCACCAACTTGCTAGTTGATCAGCATGGGAAATATCGTCAGACATGTTTACGGCGGGCGATCTCGAACGCGTGCTGCTCGACAGCAATGTCACGGAAGAGAGCAGCAGTAGGCGAGCGGGACGGGGGCCCGCGGCTGGGCTTTACCCCACTCGACTCGTAGGACCCCAGCCGTCAGGAACAAAAAAGCCTGTTACCCACAGGGGAGATATCGTTGTATGCTGCCTGGGAAACCGTAGACATACAGGTAGCCTTTCGCTCACGCTATGGATTCATTGCTAATCTATCTTAGACTTATTTCTATAGATAGAGATGGATCTGTTGTGTGATATTAAGAAAAAATATATATATACATTGTATATATATTTCACCATATCCCTTTCGACTGAGGTTATTTCTCGAACGGGTAGTCTTCCTATCAGGTTATGTTTACTTTCTAAAAACAAACAACCAGAGTCTCCCGAAAAGAGAGCACAGCAAGCGGTAGATGAGCGATGCTGTGATGCAAATGTATGTTGTAGATACCAGATCGCACACCGACACCACACCGAACAAAGGTCCATAAGGCATTGCTCTCGTTCTTGCTCATAGAGCGCATCACCCGCCGCTTGTTCCTGCAGCAGCAGTAGCAGTCATCATGCCCACAAAGAGACGTACACGCACACACACGCCGTAGTGTCCCGCTAGACAGCACACACAACACACAACCGACTCTCTACGCGACAGAAACCGGTTTTCACGCCACAGCAAGCGATAGCTGCTCAAACAACAGTGAGAAGTCTTGAAATCGTCTCAGCTACACAGAACTGCTGGTAGTTCTGGGAGGTTCGCAGTGTGGGCTGAGATCGGCTTTTGAGACCGGTCGGGCAAGGGGTGGGCTATGCTCATGAAAATTCCACAGAAAAAAAATACTTTAGATCGACTGAGACCCAATCTCTACTGAGCATGGGAATAGCGCCGACAGGGGTTGGCAAAAATTTCATTACTGGGATATCGAAGAAAATCCTCACCAACTCCAGACAGAACAAAAGGCATGAGACAGAATCCGTGCTGACAAACACATGGGTTTCCTTTCAACGTGTAAAGCACCACCCCATTGACGAGCGTGCAGTGGGCGCATATTGTTTCGAACGAGTGGAGGACGCGAGCAAAGAAGCCATGGGTGCGAGGTTTTGCGTTGAGAACAATGATTCACACAGAGCAGATCGTGCACAAAAATGACGAGCGAACACACACCAATTCAGGATACATCGTGAAGCGGTAGGAGATGTCGCACGGCATCAGTCGCCTGACCAGTGGCGCCTGACCAGTGGCAGGGTAACTTGAATTACGTCCAAGTCTTACCGCGGCTAGAAAACGCCACGATACTCGGAGTGTCGGTCGAACCGCATATTTCGTCAAACAGACCAAAAGTCCACGCCGCGGTATCTACCCAACCAAAGGAAGCTAAAAATCGAACGCCAAACACCTACACCACAGCAGTCGTACAAAAAAGCTAAAGAATACAACAGAAAAACTTTGAACGCTCAAACACAAGATCGACACAAAAAAAACTAAAGATAACAATATTTCACCCAAACTCTACACGGCGGTTGTTTTCTACCGCTACCACCGTCGCCGCCATGACCCTTACCCCCTCCTCAAACCCAGCCTCCAGCTCCATCCTACCAGACCTGCTATTCCCACGATTCTAGCCTGCTACTTTGTCCCCCCCTCGCTACCGGGGTGGTGGTGGTGGCGGCTGCTGAAGCTGTTGCGGCGGCGTAGACTTCCTCTTGTACTGCCACTGCACCGCGCGCTTTCGCATCGTCATCTCCTGCCTCGCCCAGTCGTCGGATGCTGGCGATTCCGCCAGCATGCGGTACTTGAGCTCCTCTTCCGACAGCCCCTCCGCCACCTGAGCCGGGTGCAAAACCACCAAACGGATGGGTTGTTGAGACGAGGGTATGCACAACATATTGTTTGTCATTCTTTTCATCTCGTGCCCCAATCAGCAACACCATCAACGACCCCTTGCAATGGCTTCTACACGGGCTACTTGCCTTGCCATGGCCTACAGTAGGCTCGAGGAAATAGCCGGAAAGGAAATCATCGGGCCTGAGGCTTCCTCACGACGAGGCGCCAGGCGCCTGATATACACGTGAGGACAAAAACATGACACCTGTCACCTCCTACCCTCTAGCGAGTAACCAAACACCGGACCCAGGATGGGTTTGGCTTTGATTTCTTGCCGTGTCACACTCTCTTGAGACAATGCTCTCACCCATACGGAATGATAACTCGCTTTTGTATCGTCTTCCATCCGAAGCAATAAATGTGTACCACGGGAAGCGATTGACCAACACATGCACCACACCGGTGGGAGCGAGATTTTGGTGAGAGGTTTGGGTCAACATGTCGGCGAGTGCTAGTTCGATTGGCGCCAAAATAATAGCCGCGGAAACAACTCTACTACGTACTAATTTTATTTGCTGCCATCGCTGGCCCGGACCGCCTTCGCGAAGACAAGAGGCGTTACATGTGAAATCGAGAGGGGGTTTGCAACCCGAACCCTCACACCCCAACTAAAACCAAGTTTAACATCCTCGCAAAAGGCTACTACTACTGGGCACACAGCCCAGTCCCCCCCGGCTCACCTCCACCATCGTGGAGATGACGGTCGTGATGAAGTTCGGGCGGTCCTTGTCCGGCCTCAGCCCCATGTACACCCACAGCCCGGACCCAGGGTCTAGCGCCACCTCGGCGATCACGGACCGGCTGCCCTGCATGTCGGCCACCAGCCTCGCCTGGTCGTGCTCAGAGAGGTTCACGGTCCTGGACAGGTCCACCTCCTCGCCGTGGTTCCCCGCCTCGGAGCAGAGGCGCACACCGCCCCCCCCGCCCACCGCTGCTGTCGCCGGGTAAACTCTAAGGTCCACAGAGGCGAGGTCGACCCACTTCCACTTGAGCAGGGCCGTGTCTGTGCCTACCTTGTAGGGCGCGTCCGGCTGGAAGATGATGCCGTCCGTCTTGTGGTGCAGCGACCGCTCCTCGTCGCGGAAGATGCGGTGCTGCCCCTCGACGAGCACCTGTCAGAGGTTTCATCGCATGGAGTAGTAGTTGGTAAGACTGTTTTTGGTTGGGTCGGTCATTTAGTTGCCAAAATTGACTTTGTTTGGGTGTGGATAGTCGACCGTGGTCGATGGCGTTAGTCATGCCCCGTTTTCGTCGCAGCAAAACAATACTGAGGGATACAGCAGTAGTCTACAGTAGGTTGCAACCTAGACGTACAACACGAGCGAACTCTTTTTTCCCGCAATGGCACATAAACCGCGTGGAACTAACATCGACACCTTGGGATAAAAGCTAACTTCAATATTCAACGAGATTTACAGGGCATTCGTCCGAGGCGGCACGTATTCACCTGTCGGAACAGGTCCATGATCTTCTGCCGCGGGAAGAACCTCTTCGGGACGAGCATGAGGTGCCCGTCCGGAGCGGCCTCGGCGCCTCCCTCGCGGACCCGGTCCACGTAGGCGGGGATGATCTCCTTCTGCAGGACGGACAGCCGATCCAGGAACCCGCACGGCACCAGGTTCCGTTCCCGATTTCGCAGGATGTCGAAGGCGACGAAGATGGCCTTCTTCATCGTCCGGTTGTGCACGAGCTCTCCGTCGAGGATCGTGCCGACCCCGACGATCCCGGCCAGGAACCCGCCCCCCGTCACCCGGAAGACGTTCATCGACCGGTCCACCAGCACGCAGGTGGCGCCTCGTTCCGTGCCCACGGCCATCATGAGGTACCTGACCCCGTCCGTCTTCTCGGCGACGAGGTAGGAGCCCCGCTGCACGTCCGGGACGTTGCGCTTGCACATATTCACCGGCTGGGCCCCCGGGAAGCTGGACCCTTTCCCCGTGGGCCTCTTGAGCTGCGCGCACGCCGCCGCGACGGCCTTCCTGATCCCGTCGTCCTGCTCGGGCACCGGGTTGGCTATCGCCGACAGCGGCTCGAGGGGGTTGATCGACTCCAGCAGGTGGACCAGGTGCGTGGCCACGTGCGAGGTCATGGCGATAACCTCCTGCGGCTGGGAGAGCGACAGCCAGCGGTCCCTCGCAGCGGGCAGCAGCTCGAGCTCCACCTCTCTTACCACTCTCACGCCGCCGCCGCGCTGCGGGCCGTTGCTGACCTCCTCGACGAGCGTTAGGTCCGCCCTCCAGATCCACCGCTCGTCCTCCGGCGTGTTCGCGTCCGACTTGAACGAAAACCTCCGCTTGGTTCTCCTCCCGGACCAGCCCTGTGGAGGCTCGCTGCTGCCGGGCTGCAGCCCGGGCACCGCCTCCGGCGGCACCGGCTGCTCCAGGGACGCCTGCACCCGGAGGTCGTACTGGGCCGCCGCCAGCTGAAAGTTCACCTGCTGCCGCGCCTCCTTCCGCTCGCAGCGGAGCGGGTTCACCCCATCCGCCACCACCCGCTGGTCCCGCATCTGCCCGGAGTCGTAGACGTAGACGACCTCCTTGCTGGCGCGCTCGGCGACCCCGTACCGCCGACCGACCTCCTCCTTGACGGCGTCGAAGGCGGGAGCGCTAACGCCGGAGACGAACCGCAGCCCCCGCTGCCGCATCATGTCGGAGTCCATCTGCACGGCTCCCGACCCCGGGATGCCCGGAGTCGCCCTCTCGAGGCGATCGTGCTGTGAGATGAGTCCCACCCGGACCTCGATCTCGAGGCTCGAGCGCACCTCCGCGGACTCGTGGCACAGCCGCTGGTGCAGGGCGCTGAGGGCGTGGGCGAGCGCCTGGAAAAGATCATCTCCCTGCGGCTGCGGCTTGGAGGGAGCCGGCCGCTTGCCGAGGCTGGAGTGGGTCTTTTCGGCGTTGTCGATGAGGTCGCTCAGCAGATCCATGTTTTCATGAGCAGCTGCTGCACTAAGTAGGCGGTCGAGACTGCTGCTGTTGCTACCCTCCTTTGGGAGCAGATTTGGTGCAGAGCGGCGAGATTTTTTCGAGGGGTTTGCATATTAAGCCAGTTGCGTTTCCATCATGGGGGGTGGGCATTTTCGCTTGAGGGAACGAATTTGATGTGCACTTGTCAGCTTTTGGGAGGAAAACTACTGCTGTATCCAGCTTCACCAGTGGGTAGCTCGTGGGGAACCCCTCTTCGTTATGAGCACGCTACTACTGACACGTGTATCAACCTCATCGTGAGTTTTAGACTACACTCCCAGCGCGCGAAGGACCCACCTCGGGTAAAACCCTTTCTTCTCTGCTGTAGACTAGACTATCGTCAAAAATGTGCGCACCCACGGGAGGCTGGGCAGCAGGCCCAACTACTATGGAGCAAGCAGTAGTTACAACGAACGGAGGCTGGGCAGCAGGCCCAACTACTACGGAGCAAGCAGTAGTTACAACGCAGAGCGGTGCTACTGCGTACACATTGTAGCCAGAGAATCTCTCGGCAATACTGCTGTAATGCTGCTTGACCGATCATATCTACATTTCGATGCGTACGTACATACATCAGAAGCAATCATGTATGCGCAGCATGTGAAAAATGGGATTTAGACTATATCTTCCTCGTGGTCCCTCCGTGCTGGCAACAATTTGTCACGGAGGTGCGTGAGTAGTTTCGAGTTTCAGGCGCAACCCTTGGTCTGAGAGATGTATGTGCGAACTTGACCGCAGCAGGTGCTAGCCTGCACGACAATATACTAGCCGTTGTCGAGTTTACCCCAGAGAGGAAATAGAACCGAACGTCGGCAAACTACAAATGTATGCAAGCGTAGAGGTTCTCCTGCGGTCTCTAACCAATCAACCAACCACATCGATCAATCAATCACCTAAATTTCCGCCGAGGCTAAGTTGCTTCCTGTACCAACCGCAGCAGAGAGTGGTGACCCCCGCGGTGACCAACTTACTAGATGCGGTCGGATCTTGTCAGGTTGTTGGACATTGGTCGGAAGCTATATTTCGGTGCGACCCACAGCCATTGGTTGGTGTGCTCAAAGTTCAGGTGAAACAGAACGAATATCTAATGGACGGGGATACACGGACCGCGAAAGGAAAAGCAGCAAACACTGCCGAAAAAGGCCGAGAGCAAGTACCGCTAGCATACAGAGTTCCGATCCGAACGCTCGTAGTGGAAGCAACGCATGATCTGCCCAAGCGAGCAAAAACAGGCGTCAGCACTCTCCCCACCCCGACCCACCAACTCTACTCTCTTCGTCATCATGCATGTTGTATGAAAACAAACCCGGATGCGGTAGCCACACAGAAAAACACCTGTGTAATGCTGTAGAGAGCATGGAAAACCTCACCAACAAATTCACCACAACCCATCACCAACATGCCCATGGCACGAGGAAACACAACCTAATGAGCTTCGAGCGTGCTGAGCTACATACATGAACATCTGGATGCGGTAGCCACACAGAAAAATACCAGCATTTTCGTGAGAAAGTGGAAAACCTCGCAAACAAGTTTAACCACAACCAACCCACCACCAACATGCTCGCCCATGACAAGAGGAAACACAAAGAACAGAATTTCGAGCGTGATGGAGCAATTGGAAAAAACAGTAAGATGCAAACGCCGGTTTTGTCACATGGAGTTTAAATTTCTGCGACTATGATCAACGTCTTCGCTGACCGACGGATCCACGAAAACACGGAAGTCAATCAATCTTCCCAAGGGCGACACTCCCAAAACTCCTTCTAGGCCGCGGTTTCCCCGGTGGGAGTGCCGCGAAAATCACGTATGCACGACGGCGAAAATGTAACGGTAACAATTACGCACCCATCTACCGCCCTCTGCATACACCAACGAAGTTGCTTGGCGTGTGTATTTCCGGTGTGTTTTCTAAAACATAATAGCATCGACCGCGCCAACCGGTCGACCGACGAAAGGACGTCTGTATTATTGTAGCGGGAAAATACTCTCGAGCACTTTCAACTCGAAAGGGTTCTACCACCAGGGTGCGTGTGTGTGATGTNGGGGGGGGGGGGGGGGGGGGGGGGGGGGGGGGGGGGGGGGGGGGGGAGGACCCCTGGATTCTTGGCGGGTTCCGTTCTTGACGCAAAATTCGAATTTCCAAAATCCTTGCTTAACCCTCGCTCTGCTGTCGAGACAAGAAGATTTCCTCAAGAGAAGGAGGCGTCTTGGGCTGCACTGGTGTACAAAGCTGTTTCCTCTTCGTTTCCCTCGTCACGCAGAACGAAGTCGTCAGACAGGCAGGGCAAAACTTCAGCAGTCTCTTCGTCGTCATGGGTCCGGCTGGCAGCGGCTGCTGCCGTCCGTGCGCTGCGAGCGGAAACATCGACGCCGGAGGCATGGCCACGAGGAGGTAAGTAAGGCTGAGAAGGGAGATGACGGAGTAAGTTACGTCGAGCCCGCTTGTGTCTGTGTGTCTTAATAATGAGCATCGACCGCGCTAACCGGCTGGCCAATAAAAAGACGTCAGTCTCGGTGCATTAGAAAACACAGTCTACGTCTAAATCTCATACACTGGGACCCCGTGAGGGGCGGCATGGGGGAGGCTACGCTATCGTCCGGATTAAAAACAGAAACGGTAGCAACTGTGTGTGTGCGTGTAGCATCAACGACGCCTACCGGCTGATCAACCAAAAATGTCAGTCACAACGCGGCTGAAATCAGACAATACGTCTCAACGCCATGTGTGTGTGTGGAAATTTATCGACGGAAGCCAGGCATTGCAGATTCGATTCGTTCGGCTTTTAGACCCGGGATTTCGGGGCAGAGGAAAGGCATGGAATGCGTCAAGACGAGGATCCATGCGGATGCGGGACACGGCGTGGCGGGGTCAATCTTGGCTTGGCACGAGATCTCCAGCAATACAAGGAAGAATTAATTCTTTCTCTCATGGGTAGAGTTTCATGTCAAACACACGGATGGAAACGTCGAGCGTTTTCTCTTGGTACCGGAAGCAGCAAACAAACTTACGGACAAGCGTGATCATTTTTCTTTACACGCCGTTTGTTTTCTGTTCTCGCGCACCTTCATGCCATAAAAACTGCAGCCGAAAATGCCAAGCTGGTCACCATCCGGCGCGCCTTCCGGATCCAGGGGTGCAATTTCGTACCGCGTCTGGAAGTCGACGGGACGGGGACGGTGGCAACAGCAGCAGCAGCACGCGTACGACATCGTGGATGAGGGGGGAAAGACCACATGTGGACGCGTGTTCGACTCCCAGCTCGAACACCGTTAAGACACCATTGATTAATTGCCAGCAGCACGGCGAGAGGTGCGCCTCCGGAGATCACCGTTCCAGCTGGGAGGGCAAGAGCGTAAGGAGCGAAGACACCCGTTCTTCATTGCTCACACGTAGAAACGTTTTCAAAATACCTATTTTGAACCAATGAGAGAGGTAAACGAACAGTCTATCAACCGTAGCTTGACATCTGCTCGAATCAGGACGTCACAGAGGCAGGCCAGCGTGTACACACATGAAACTATGCGGAAAGAAGGACGATATGTTCGGTCAAGCGAGCGGTATGGCTCGGCACCGCGCGCACCTACGTAGAGACAAGATTCTTCCGCGGAGGTCTGGCCACTGCTATGACGTCACCGAATCACAGGTAATATTTTGAGGTTCGGGTATATTGCTACGACAGCAAATATTCCTGCGACAAGCGTCAAAAGAACAACTCCGTTTCTTCAAGCACTGGCTCCGCGACACGATAAGAGCCTCGACTGTGCGCAGCCCGTGCGTTACACCGTCGGTGCCCTACGTCCCAGGTACCTTTCCGTGAAAACACCCTCAGACAGACAGATGACCACCACCACATATTTCTACTTCTACAGTAGCGTGCCCGACATGACAACAACGTTCCGCCTGTCGCCAAGCGGGGTCCGTTCCAGCAACTGCAAAACAAGAAAGAGAACAAGTTGTAATGTTCGGGGGACGAAACCGCTTGGACGTAAAGTACCATGGCAATTTGATGCCATGAGTGGGATGAAGGCAACAACGTGCGCCGCGGATCATCACGGTCTTTATCTTGATGGCGAAGGGCACGAGGAGAGCGGAAGCGGCCAACGCCCGCCTGCCACCTTAGCGCGTACTGCTATTACGGCGTTGGATAGTGTGCAACCCAAACCCCGCGACAGCGAAAAGTGCTTACCTTCGCCAAGGCGATGAACTCGTCCAACGTCTCCCTCACCTGTAAACAGGGCGCGGCAGGTTTAGAAGGGTTTGATTCAACTGAACACAATAACCCGAAAGAAGTCGAAACCCCTTTCCGGGCAAAGAAAGTTGCTACATGCTATGCTGCGCTAGAACAAAAAAATATGGCAGAAGTCTCTGAAGAACAGCGCTTTTTTCGTACCCCATCAAGCTTGAACATTGTCTTCCACTGGGCTGTGACCAGACGTATTCGATTCTCTATAATTTCACGGATGGTACGGAGGAAGATCAGAAACTTTCGAAGGGCAAGACTATGACAGTCAGCACGTGTCGTTTCGTAACCAACAACTACAGCATACCTCTTGGACCTCCTCAAGCTGCTCCTTGGCGTCTTTGGTCCCGCAAGCCGCTTTTAGCTCCAACAGGTGCCCCTGTGTCGTGGGGGTTTTGGTTTTTGTGTCGTTTCATCAGGTGTCTTGGTTTCATAGAAGCAGGTCCAATACTTACCACTGATCACATCACATGATCTCTCCGAGCAACGCCTCAGAAATAATGCAGTTGTTCCGCGACTGAGCTCTTCTCGTGAAGTTCTGCTGTCGTGCTGTGGAGGCAGCCTAGGCACGATGGCGGCAAGATTATCGCGCGGTTGTGGGTCATGCGCACGGGAAACAAAGGAGAGCCCAGGGATATCTTAAGGGACATGTAGCATGAGCAGTTGCTGAAGTAGTACGCCGCAAGGGCCGAGGGACACACTCTCTCCTCTCTCCGTCAGGTGATTCTGCCAACCCATCTCGGCGTGAAAGCTGTTTCCCGAGTGCGGTACAGTCGGCAAAAAAAGCCCCAGGAAAAAGTTTCGAAGTTTCTTTCGGTGTTGTGTGATGGTGCAGTATTTCTCCCTTTCCTTCGAAAAAACAACTAAATAGAACACATAGCTCGCGGACTTTTGGTCAGTTGCGGAAGGTTGAAAGAAGAGGTAGGTCATCGCTCGATAAGGCACGCCACGGTCCCGAGGTAGAACGGCAGGGGCTAACTAAAGAGCATTACCGCTGCCAAAAAATTCCTGAATCTTGATCCGACAAGGAGAAGAAGAGTACGTGTCTGCAAAGCAACCGCAAACAGAATCGATATACACGTACCTTCATGATCAGCGGCAAGAGCTTTACTCGCTCCCTGCTCTCGCGGCCAGCGAGCTGCATGAGTGGCGCCACCTTGAGCATCTCCTCCTGCATGGGCTCGAGGTAGACCTCGAGAACTCTCAAGACTACCACCGAGTCCTCGGGCCCTCCCTTCAGGGCCCCCGCTTTCAGGTCTTGCTCCAACTGTTAATAGCATGTACGGCATGAACGCCGTCGGCACCATCCGCATTTGGGTCAGTCAGGGCTGCTGAATGTCGAGAATGCCGCGGGTGACACAACACCACAAAAAACCAAAACACACAACGTATGGTACTGTGTGGCGCGATGGTACAGGAGCAACGCCGGCTAGGCAACATGTGGAAAATTACGAACGAGAGAGTATTCCGTCAGAATCAGCGACAGAGGCAAGCAGGACAGCAACCCAGAGCGTTTGCAACTGAAACGACCACCTACGTAGTACCTTGTCTGACGGCTGACGCTTGTACTCATGATACATTGGTGGTCAGGCGTGCTCATCTCTGGAGAAGAAAGGGGCCCCGCGATCTCATGACCTTGGTGGGACAACACACAATATTCCTCGCTCGCGTTACTCAAGAACAAACAAATCCCCTCCTTTCCTTTAGCTTGCGACCTCCTCCAGATGTAAACCATAGTACATACGCATATCACGACAAGCAATGAAGCGCAGGGAATGAATGAACGCCCGCCGTCCCCGTGTTCTGTAGAAACCGCAAAAAGTTGTACAGACTTGCTGACTTTTGCTCAATTGTATGTAGCATATGCTGTACATCTTAACAAGTACCAGTAGTATTTAAAGTGTACTCCGTATATCTTAACAAAAGTCGACAAGGATACCACACGTCTTAGGCCGTTTCTTCGCGGGCTCGATACCTACGCATCAGGAGGGAAGGCGGGAACGACGCGTATCTTCGGCAATGGCAATCAATCGCCTCCCCATACTGGCATGTACTGCCTATTCATCGGTCTTCGGAAATCCGACCAAAGGGTGTGCGTTGTGTGCCGCAGAACGCGCAGTCACGAGGCGGAATCTGGAAGGATTTCACGCACCTTGTTGACGAACCTGGAGTACCCGGCCACCTTGACCACCTCCTCCAGTTCTGGGTTGTCCTTAGGCCCGAAGGGCAGCGCTTGCGCAAAGAGCGGGGGCATGAGACAGGGGGGGTGGGGGTGTACTCATAGTCGTGCATGCCGTAGTCGTTAGACCATTGACCTCGCATCCCTACAAAGCCGGGACGGAGCACGCCGGGTTCTCACCGGACCAGGCTCTCACATCACCAAGCGCGAAGCGCCGTGAGATATTCGGCGAGTCGCATGAAGGGTGCGCTGCATCCTGCTAAGGGTGTTCGGCATCTTGTGCTTACTTCCTTGCGTACGGATGACAGCTGCGTATGAATTAATTTATTTTCTGGTGCATTCACTTCCAGAGACAGTTGTAAGCACTGTGTAACTGCCTCGAGGGTGCTTGACCATTTTAACACAACGTGGTGCGATCATCCCCCTTGCGCGAGTGAGGGTTCTCCACCTCGCACAACATGATCTACTCGACCACCATTATGGTTACCGCCGGAAAAAAAATAGAGGGAAAAAAAACAAACGGTAACCTGGTTGCCGAGTTCACGAAGTGAATTGG